GGCTTAGTGATTAACTGGAAAAACGCGGACCAAAGACCAACGTGGGAGGAAGTTTGCAGATATTCACCGAACGTAAAGTCGTACTGGGCCCAGTGGAATTCCTTGGTAATAGATGACGGGTTACTTCGCCGTGTAATCGAGAGACCAGAGGGTCAAGAAGAAAGAAGACAGATCGTCATTCCAAAGAAGAGGATCCCGGAAGTCTTGGAGGAAGTTCACAATGGAACCAGCGGTGGACATCTTGGTGTTACCAAGATACTTGGCAAGCTGCGAGAACGGTTCTATTGGGTGAACTGCAAAGAAGACGTGAGGGCTTGGTGCAAGAAATGTGACGTGTGCGCTGCTATCAATGGTCCACAAAAGCGCGATAAAGCTCCAATTATGACGTCACGCTAGTTAGATATATATCCAGGGTTGTCGCAACTAACGTTGCATCCCCACGCCTAACCGCCACCTGTTACGATCAAGAACATCTTCCTCTTCCAAGTTACGGTCCTCCATTGCCCTTCTGATGGCCTCATTCCAAGATCTTCTAGGCCGTCCTGTTTTCCTTTTTGCAGGAGGTGACCAGCTGTAGATACGGTAGGGCCATCTTTGGTGTTCCATACGTAGCAAGTGTCCAAACCACTTAAGGCCCCTCTGTTCGACTCTATCCACTATTGTCTGTGTGGCATCCATTTTGGCTCTGATTTCCACGTTCCTAACTCTGTCCAGTTTAGATACTCCCGCACTGCGTCTCAAATAGTCCATTTCGAGTGCATTCAAAGCTCGCTTTTTGTTCAGCTTTTAAGGTCCAAACTTCACACCCATAAGTTACTACCGACTCCACTAGGGCTCTTCCAATATGTACTTTTTGTGTTTGGTCTTATGTTTTTGTCCCACCAGATGCCATTCAGTGCTCCTATAATCATCCGCTCTTGTTCTATTCTAGCAGATACTTCTGTTTTGTCCAGTCCCTTTCTGGTTATACGTGCCCCCAAATATTTAAACCATTCAACCTGTCTGAGCTTTGCATTGTCAGTAATAAAAATGTCAAATTTATCATCTGAATTGGTCACTAGATATTCCGTTTTATCAATGTTCACAGTAAAGCCCCATTCCGTGTATGCCGAATTTAATCTGCTCATCATGAATTCAAGGGCGTAAGCATCTTGAGCTATGACCACCTGATCATCGGCAAAATTTAATGTAACCAAACAGTCATCTCCTACAGGGACGCCCATTCCCCACACCTCTTCTTCCAGTCCCTAAGAACCACTTCCAAATACAGATTAAATAAAAGAGGCGACAGAGGACATCCCTGTCGAAGGCCCTTGGTCGTAAAAATGCCTCAGACAGTCGGTTACCGCTCTTAACATGAGCTGTGTTGTTGTTGTACAGCACCTTAATTAAATTTATGAGACATTCATCCACATCAAGTTGTTCCAGTATGTACCATAGTTTAACTCTGGGGATGGAGTCGTAAGCTTTTTGAAGGTCTACAAAAGCTAGATGTGTATCTTCTTCACGTGAATTCCGTTTTTCTATCAGTTGTTGGATAGTAAATAGATTATCTATACATGAACGCCCTGCAATAAAGCCACTCTGCTCTTCACTGATTTTGTTGTAAGTAGATATTTCTAACTTATTTCTAATTATTTTTGTAAAATGTCTGCTGAAGGTGCAATTCACACTAAGACCTCTGTAGTTATTCGGGTCTTTTCTGTTCCCTGTTTTATATATAGAAGTGATATAGGCTAACTTCCATTCATTAGGTATTTTATTCCGATCTACACACATCTGCATTAAGTTTGTTATTTCTGTTATAAGACATTCTCCGCCATATTTTAGCATTTCAGCCATAATACCACCCGGTCCTAGAGCTCTACCGTTTTTCATAGACACCAAGGCTTGATTAACTTCCTCGATCGATATATTTGTTCTAGCTTCTGTAATAGTGACGGCTTCATTGTTTTGTAAAAACTGTGGTCGTTGCTCTATTAATAGGTTTTCATAATGTTCCCTCCAATCACTTAAAGATATAGTTCCCGTCCATCGTTCACGCGTATTTGCTTTCATCCCTTTCAGAGTTCTCCATGCTTCCGTAGATCGAAATCCCCCAATGTAAGTCTCAATATCATTGCATTTTCTTTCCCACATACTATTCTTTTCCTCGGTTACTTGTTGTCGAACTTCCTTTTGTAACTTCTTATATGCTAACCAATTTTCATCTGTTGGATTTCCTAACCAGTTATTATAATCCGGTGTTTAACCATAGTAAATTTTTGTTATTTTTAATATAAAATTCAATTGAAGTGATTAAAAAGTACTCCCTCAATAGAAAAAGAAATGCAACAAAGTTACAATTAAGGAATAAATAATAAACAAATTCAATACAAATTTCACTGGTTTGAAATGACGCGTAGAAAATTGTGACGTCACCTATTAGTATTTGACTGAATAGTTGACAGAGGGCGCGAGATAATATCATGTTCGAGCAATGCCGTCTCTAATAGAACAGCCTCGGAGCGAGAATTATGATGTCACGCTAGTTAGAGACTACGGATTAATAAATATGTTGTAGAATACATGGAAAACATAATTTTTCCTCAGATTTTTGGGGTGTATTTTAAAAATGATATAGTTTACATAATATACAGTTAATAAATACAATATATATATATATATATATATATATATATATATATATATATATATATATATATATATATATATATATATATATATATATATATATATATATATATATATATATATATATATATATATATATATATATATATATATATACCTATTTATAGTAATAAATACTTTGGCAAATAAACTATACAAATAATGAATACGTACATAAAATAATGTGTAAAATCTAAAATATATTTTCAATTTTAGGGTGTGAAAATCGATCTAATTTAATACCCAAAAACATTCAGTATCTACTAGTGATGTGTTATTATTTGCATTCACAAAATTTATATGTATATTTTGCAAGTATCAATGTTCGAAAAATTATATTTGCAAATAATACAATATCATCGAAAAAAAGGCGTCATTGTTGGCTATTAAATAAAGATCGCTGTCATTTTATATGTAATATTATTTAGGGAATGTCATCGATGTTCATTTCCAAGCCAACTAGACGCCGTTTTTTTTCGATGATACGGTATAATTCTTACATAAAATGTAAATAACATTAGACCAATTAAAAAAAAGAAATATGATTTTTTTTGTTAAATATAATAATTAAAACACCTTTATCCTTAAAACTTGATTTTGTATTGTAAATATACCAATTTTATTGTTATTTTATTCATATTGTATTCAGCCATCACTTAAATATTTGATATTAATTTGGTATTATAAATAATCAACTATCTATCTAAAAAACTATCTATCGAAGCTGAACCAACAACACTTGGGAGTGGAGATGCCACAATATGGATAAAATAAATATAATTGTCCAATTTTCTTTAATACCAGCCCGAGAGAATATTTTTAAATATATTAAAGATATTTTCAATAGAATTATCTTGATTTATAACTCATACCCACTTTTCTTGGTCTTCCGGACACTTTAGGCTGCCTAGTATAATAATCCCTGCAATCAGGAACACAACAAAAATGAGATAGAACCAAAAACACATTCTACTGACGCTTTATTGATGAATTGTTAGAGTCTTAAAAAACATTCACAAAAATTATGATAAATATAAAACTTTAACAAAACCTGTAATATTTCGTGTTTTTTTTATGAGAAACAGAGTGACCATATATCTGGTAGTAGTTTATGTCACTTAAACACTAAAATAATTAGTTTTTTGCACTACAATAACAAATAATATCAAAAATTAACCGACAAAATATGAATACAGAATCTAACCGAATATCTAACTATGAACAGCTGATGAAGTAAACAAAAGTCCGTGCTCGACTGATCTATTAGAGATGGCAGTGGTTCGAGGCGTTCGAGGGTTCGAGGTTATATTTGTATTTTCAAGTATTTTGTACATTTTGCGTTTGTTTTTGTACAATTTTTGTTGTAGTGTTTATGTAATATATTATATTATTTTTTAGGAGGTAGGTACTATAGATATTAGGGTAATAGTTTAGATACTTATGCTTAAAATATCATTTATGTTTCTTTTTATAGACTGGTTTTTTGTGTTACTAGGATAATTTACATTGTAAAAACTTTCAAGGCATTTTTTTGAAAAAATAAACTATTTTGTATGTGTTGTTGGATTATTTTTATTTTGACTTAATAAACTGATTAAAATGAATCATATAAAAGATATAAAAAAAGTAGGTAATATTCTTTTGAATGTTGCAATTTTGTTTTTGTGAAGTTTCTACAGACCATAGATAAATGCAACAAGTTTAGATTGGAAAGCTCGTAAAAATTTTAGGTCGCGAAATTATTTTGGGTCGCGACCGTTATACGCGATCTGGCGCTGCTATAGCGGTCGCTAAGAACAACGGCAAACAAAAACAGAAATAATTTTCTCTTGTCAAAGTCAGAATCTTCAAAAATCATAATAATCTTTCAAAATCTAAACCGCTCTCATTAAAGAAATTCCGAAAAGTGTTTATAGCGTCCATTTTCAAAGTAATAATTGCTATCTTGTGAGTTTAATTCAAGTTTTATTTACTCCAAGCGGTGATAATTGTGAAAAAGTGGCATTAAAAACTTAAAAAGCTGTGCTGTGAACTGTCAACTGCAAAAACCATCGATCGTGGCATAACGTCGGTTTCCAATGTTTCATAGGTATTTCATACCTGCGTCCTTATATAAAATAAAGTTTCTTGTATGCAACACACTGTCTTTTATTTATAAAATTAAACGAAAATAATAATAAATTTGAATAAACAATATTTGGCGATATAATTCCGGAAAAAGCCGAACCGCTCCGAAATTTTCAAAAGTTTTGGGTCGCGACCGTTGCAACAATAGCGCCTAATAGTGTTTACATTGTCCTTATGGGCACTTTCCAATCTAAACTTGTTTCATTTATCTATGCTACAGACTAGGTTCCTGAATATGTTTTTACTTATCATAAAACTTTGCTATACATAAAAAATATATTTTTTTTAAATTAATAAACAATAAAAATTTATAATTATTCAAGTACAAATTTTATTAAAAATATTATTCTTATAAAAATCCATGCAATTTTCCATCAACGATTTTAAACATTCCTCATCATAATTAATCCAAATAATTTGAACTTTCTTTGTTGTTTCAAAATCAGGCTCTGCCACACAAAATAATGCTTTTTGCATCCCAGTAGCTAACATTTGCAGCTGAACTTGACCATTGCATTTTTTTGTTATTTCTCCTTTGTTAATATAATTCTTAAGGGTTTTATTACTGATAGGGCACTTAACTTCTACCACAAAATCAGTACCTAAAGCATCTGGAGAGGCCCCAAATATTGGATAATCAGGCATTAAAATAAATCCACAATCTTTTAATTTCACGTCCAATTTTTGCTCAACTATTTTCAAAATTTTTTTCTCAAGATTTTGTCCTCTCAACATGCCAGTTGTTGGTTTTGTTTTATGAGCTCCTATTATGGTTTCAACTAACGTACCAGCTGTCTTGCATCTACTTATTTCATATAACTTTGAGGCTGTTATACGGGCATAGCGAAGCTCAAACCATAGAGGACACTTTGATTTTTTGTAGCCTTCTCTGCTTCTTTACATAGACTGACAGGCATTTGCTGTTTAGCAAAATTTAAAAAGTCTGTGAAATCTCCTCCCTGCCTTTGAAAACGTAGAGCCAACCTATAAATGCTTAGTTCAACCAAACTGTCTTTGAAATTTAGGGTTGAACGCAGCTGATGACAATTTATATTTTGTTGTTTCCCTTCTTCCAGAAGTTCATTTAGAAAACTTTCATCTGCTGGCTGTTCCGGGTTTGGGGTGACACCTGCCTTACCTCTACAAACTTTATAGTGGTTCCGACATTACTTAAACGAGGCTTTTTCCAATATGAAGTCACTTCTGTTGGTGATGAATCTTCAGTCCGACGATTAAGCCACATTAAAAAAGCTAGAGCATGCTTACAACCTCCTGCAAAATGTTTATGTTAAAAAACAATTGACAAACATAGCGTATAAATAATACCTTCACCGGCTGCACAGTCTTTACAACAAACATCTATAAAAGTTTCTTCTTCTTCATTTATTACAGTTTCAATGGTGTAGGCCTTGCTCCTAACTTTATGCTCTGGACATATTCTGGCTTTTACAGAGCATAGCGGACCCTCCTTTTTAAATTCTACGTAGCCTCTAGCATTGTCACCATAACTTTCTCTGGTGGAACTAGAATATTCAATTTCAACTACTTTAGTATTTCACCTCTCAAATTGTGATAATATATCTACATACCTTGATGCTTTTACACCAGCGATTTCGGCACTATTAAAGCGATTATCTCGTTTTAATAACTCGTGCACCATAAAAATGTCTACCCTGGGAAGATTGTTAGACGTAGCTTTTACAAACTTCTCCATACTGATAACACTATATCTAGGTCAAACGAGCACAAAGAGGAAAGAAAAAAATAACACAATGCAAAATACAAAACGCTTCGTACAAAATCCAAAATCCCACTCAACAACAAAACATAAACAAAACTGACTGACATTTGACATTGACATTAATAATGACACATGCGAAATCGCTTCGACCTTGCTTCGACGCCGGCCACCAGCGTCTCTGGTGGCAAACCGTGACTTTTAATAGGTGACGTCAGAAATTGCAAATGTGTAAATTTGAAATTTTAATATTGATTAATTTTAAAAAAATGGGATGAAATTGAAGTAAAATAAAAAATACGGGTGTCATAAAATTGTATGAAGATTAATTATTTGCAATAAAAAAACTATAGTTAAACTCCGGATTCAACTTCTTTTCACTTATCTTCTCTTCAAGCTTATCCGTCATCCATATAAGCTGGTTCTTGATTTGCTCTTTATATCCTACAGCTTCCTGCATTGCTTGATGTACGGCTTGTGTAATTCGGGTATGTTCTTCTTCAATAGTATGCTTGGGTTGTTCTTTCTGCAAATGATGCTTGATACGTCGTTGGTAGAGGTATTTCTTATATGCTAACCAATTTTCATCTGTTGGATTTCCTAACCAGTTATTATAATCCGGTGTTTAACCATAGTAAATTTTTGTTATTTTTAATATAAAATTCAATTGAAGTGATTAAAAAGTACTCCCTCAATAGAAAAAGAAATGCAACAAAGTTACAATTAAGGAATAAATAATAAACCAAATTCAATACAAATTTCACTGGTTTGAAATGACGCGTAGAAAATTGTGACGTCACCTATTAGTATTTGACTGAATAGTTGACAGAGGGCGCGAGATAATATCATGTTCGAGCAATGCCGTCTCTAATAGAACAGCCTCGGAGCGAGAATTATGATGTCACGCTAGTTAGAGACTACGGATTAATAAATATGTTGTAGAATACATGGAAAACATAATTTTTCCTCAGATTTCCTCAGAAAAAAGCTAGAGCATGCTTACAACCTCCTGCAAAATGTTTATGTTAAAAAACAATTGACAAACATAGCGTATAAATAATACCTTCACCGGCTGCACAGTCTTTACAACAAACATCTATAAAAGTTTCTTCTTCTTCATTTATTACAGTTTCAATGGTGTAGGCCTTGCTCCTAACTTTATGCTCTGGACATATTCTGGCTTTTACAGAGCATAGCGGACCCTCCTTTTTAAATTCTACGTAGCCTCTAGCATTGTCACCATAACTTTCTCTGGTGGAACTAGAATATTCAATTTCAACTACTTTAGTATTTCACCTCTCAAATTGTGATAATATATCTACATACCTTGATGCTTTTACACCAGCGATTTCGGCACTATTAAAGCGATTATCTCGTTTTAATAACTCGTGCACCATAAAAATGTCTACCCTGGGAAGATTGTTAGACGTAGCTTTTACAAACTTCTCCATACTGATAACACTATATCTAGGTCAAACGAGCACAAAGAGGAAAGAAAAAAAATAACACAATGCAAAATACAAAACGCTTCGTACAAAATCCAAAATCCCACTCAACAACAAAACATAAACAAAACTGACTGACATTTGACATTGACATTAATAATGACACATGCGAAATCGCTTCGACCTTGCTTCGACGCCGGCCACCAGCGTCTCTGGTGGCAAACCGTGACTTTTAATAGGTGACGTCAGAAATTGCAAATGTGTAAATTTGAAATTCTTAATATTGATTAATTTTTTAAAAAAAATGGGATGAAATTGAAGTAAAATAAAAAAATACGGGTGTCATAAAATTGTATGAAGATTAATTATTTGCAATAAAAAAACTATAGTTAAACTCCGGATTCAACTTCTTTTCACTTATCTTCTCTTCAAGCTTATCCGTCATCCATATAAGCTGGTTCTTGATTTGCTCTTTATATCCTACAGCTTCCTGCATTGCTTGATGTACGGCTTGTGTAATTCGGGTATGTTCTTCTTCAATAGTATGCTTGGGTTGTTCTTTCTGCAAATGATGCTTGATACGTCGTTGGTAGAGGTATTTAATACTGTCATCTCCTAACAAGTTGACTTTATATCTTGGATATGACAGAGTGACTTGCTCCGTTTCAGCTTCTGTTGTGTCATATTTGTTGTTTGTGTTTTTGTTCATGTAAGGATAAATCATCTCAGAGACAACCATAAAATGATCCGACCCACAATTCGCTCCTCGCTTTACAGTGACATTTTTTATCTTTTCTTGGATAGATTGTTTAGTTATTATAAAGTCAATAATTGATTTCTGACCCAAAGACGGCCGTGTCCAAGTACACTGATGAATCCGTTTATGCTGGAAAAAGCTGTTGTTAATTTTCATATTATATTGTTTGCATGTATTCATCAATCTGTTACCACTGTCATTTGTATCTGGGTCTCCAAAACGTCCAACTACATCATCATTAAACCTCGTACCGACTTTTCCATTGAAGTCTCCTGCAAGAATTAGTGTCTGGTGACTCTTTACCATATCTAATTGTGCACATAACTCATAATAGAAATCGTCCTTTATCTCTGCTATAGCGTCATCAGTTGGAGCATACACAGCCAAGATAACAATTTGTCTGCCAAAATACTTTAAAATGACTTTCAAAATTCTTTCATTAACGTAGAGGATTTCGATTATATGTTTAATAAATTTCTTTCTAAGCAAAACTGCCACGCCCGCCTTACTTCGTTCGGACTTGACTCCATACCTGACCAAATATACATATACTCTCCTAGCATCGTATTGCCCTGACCCTTTTTCTTCGTCTCTGTTTAACAGATAATGTCCATTTTATATCTAGCAACTTCGCCCGCAACTTCATTTGTTGTAGTTAAAATTCCCTGAACATTCCAGGTACCTACTCTCAATGTCCGTTTTCGTAGCGTATTTCGTTTACCGTTATTTCCGTCCTGATTCCGAGGCAACATGTTTGGCTTTTTAACGTTTCTTTGTTTTCCAAGTGTTAGATTGCTAGTCTAACGCCTCAACCCCCAACCTGGAGGACCAGAATTTTCTGTAGGGGTTTATTCCCTTAGCCGCAAGGTTCCAGTTTTTAGGCGCCGGAAATTCGCCGTCACCCTCCTCCGTTAGCTATGTAACGCACACCCACTGTACGCCACACATTGCCCAGGAGTCACGACAAGGACGTAGAGGTAGGATTTATTGCACATAACTCATAATAGAAATCGTCCTTTATCTCTGCTATAGCGTCATCAGTTGGAGCATACACAGCCAAGATAACAATTTGTCTGCCAAAATACTTTAAAATGACTTTCAAAATTCTTTCATTAACGTAGAGGATTTCGATTATATGTTTAATAAATTTCTTTCTAAGCAAAACTGCCACGCCCGCCTTACTTCGTTCGGACTTGACTCCATACCTGACCAAATATACATATACTCTCCTAGCATCGTATTGCCCTGACCCTTTTCTTCGTCTCTGTTTAACAGATAATGTCCATTTTATATCTAGCAACTTCGCCCGCAACTTCATTTGTTGTAGTTAAAATTCCCTGAACATTCCAGGTACCTACTCTCAATGTCCGTTTTCGTAGCGTATTTCGTTTACCGTTATTTCCGTCCTGATTCCGAGGCAACATGTTTGGCTTTTTAACGTTTCTTTGTTTTCCAAGTGTTAGATTGCTAGTCTAACGCCTCAACCCCCAACCTGGAGGACCAGAATTTTCTGTAGGGGTTTATTCCCTTAGCCGCAAGGTTCCAGTTTTTAGGCGCCGGAAATTCGCCGTCACCCTCCTCCGTTAGCTATGTAACGCACACCCACTGTACGCCACACATTGCCCAGGAGTCACGACAAGGACGTAGAGGTAGGATTTGTTGGTCCGTCCGTTTAGACTTCGGGCATTTCCCAAGGTTTTGATGTGATATAGAGTGCGGCGCTATATATCACCCTCGAGACCCATGAACCAACCATATGACTCCCACGCTAGTTAGATACTACTAATAATACTATACTACTAATAATACTAATATTCACACCACACACCACATAATGTTTACTGAAATTAGTAAACTAATATAAACTTGTTAAAAGATGACCACATATTTACACTAAAACTATGTACATTGACTATGGAGTACGACTTCAGCCATGAATATTTTATATGTATTTTTTTGGATTATATTCGACACTATTTTTTTCATATGACACAACACTGATAAGGCTGTAATGTTAGCCGAAACGTTTTTTTTAAACCAAATAAAAATAATGAAAAACCAAATGAAAACTTAATCAGCGTTTTTCCCGAACCTAAATCCCAAGAAAATCAAAAATTTTAGAATAATTTTGCATATAAAATGAGAGCGATCTTTATTTCATAGTCATCGCTGACGCATTTTTTTTCTATGATATTGTATTATTTGCAAATATAATTTTTCTATCATTGATACTTGCAAAATATACATATAAATTTTGTGAATGTAAATAATAATACATCACTATTAGTAGATATTGAACATTTTTTGTTAAATTAGATCCATTTTAAAACACCAAAATTTAAAATATATTTTACATTTTACCCATTATCTTATGTACCTATTCATTATTTGTATATTGTAAAACATTTGCTGCATTTGTATGGTTCATAGTTTATTTGTCAAACTATTTATTACTACAAATAGGTATATATATTGTATTTATTAACTGTATATTATGTATATTTCATGTAAACTATATAATTTTTAAAATACAAACTAAAAATACGAGGAATAATTATGTTTTCCATGTATTCTACAACATATTTATTAATCCGTAGTATCTAACTAGCGTGATGTCATAAATCTCGAGGCTGTTCTATTAGAGACGGTATTGGTCTGATATTTAGAAATATCAAAAGCTGATGACATTTTACTTTTGACAATTATGACATTTCGTGTTGATTTTTGCAAGAAGAGGAAGAACTGTCACTTGTTTTATTATTTTCCTTTTCTATTTCACGAAAGTAAAAAGAGTTACCTATCTGATTCGTTCAGGCACTCAATTTAAAAAAAATATCAGTAACTTTTTTGGTAGAGGGATTTTATATTTGCCATGTTGGTTAAAAAATAACGGTCATAATTCAAAATTATTCATTTTATAGACTATACAATAAATACATACTTACGCATTAAACTATTGTAGGTAAATTAAATAAAAGTAAACTGTTATAAATTTAAATAAAATCCATAAACTAATGTCGATTTTGAAAATAGCTACTAACTGTCACTAGCAAATTGCCATGGCGACACCAGCAATCTTGATTGCCATTTTATTGAAAAATCGCTTTTTATTCAAAATCTGAGCCAGATAGGTATAGGAAACCCTAATATAGTTTGAAAGAGCATTTAAATTTGCTTCGACTTATTTCTAATAATACATAGTGTTGTATTTGAAATAACAAAGTTTTGATGTAAAATTTATATTTAAAATAGACCAGCAATTTTTGATACCCCTGTATACATTTAAGGAAACAATCGAAAAGTAATGTTCAGGGTGTTGACAAACTTTTTATTATAGCATGCATATTTAAATATCTTCAAATATCTCAAAAACCAAAGCTTTTCAACATATTAAATCCTTATAATAAATGCCTTATTTTTTGGCCAAAAATCCAAAAATGAAATAAAATACCGGGTGTGTGTGTTCCATAAGAAAAAATATAACTTTGGTATGGATCTTAGTTCTGACACATTTGAAGTACACACCCTGTACATTTGAAAATAATTTCAAATTATGCACATTGCCTTTCTACATATACCCATAACATACATCTTTCCGTTCTCGTATAATCAACCGAGGCGAACGAGGTGCGCCACCCTGTATAATGTGACCGAAATACCTGTACCCGTATTCTGGAGTCTCCGGTCTCATTTATATGAGACGGTACTACATCGCATCAACCAGGAGATGGAGCTAGTAATGATTAAAGTTTTAATCATCGATAGGAGTATCGATATTCAATTAAAATTCAGTCTTTATCATCTGCTGATGATACTAACATAGTTACCGAAGCGCGCTTGAACGTGTTTTAATATATTTTGGTGAATTCGTGCTTTATTTTGCTGTTGTAACACCAAACGTTCCAATCCCCAACTATAATCTAGCTAAATCATATTAACTTATAAACTGGTATTTTCATTTTAGAGATGATATAGATTCAAGATCAATTCAGAGGAATTGCAGAGAATTGTTAAATTCCTGTACAAAGTTCGAAGACATGATGAATATTTTTAATTTGTTGGTAAAACGTAAATTGTGCAATCCAACGAATGTTATGTTAGGACCACTTGTAAGAATTCATTTAAATAGGTAAACAGTAAACTTTTTTTTTATATAAACTGTAGCAGAAAAATTGTAGTGGACATCTTGAAAAAACTGTAAGTGCATTTCTAAATATCGCAAACGAGTACAAATGTACACCTTTGCAGTTAGAAGTGTTATGCTTTGTTATAAAAGAGGGAGATAAGAAGATTTTAGAAAAAATTATAAGTGCTATAGAAGATGTTCATGGTGTGGGTCCTGCTCAATTAGGATTGATTGCAGCATTGGCAGAATGTAACAAGGAACAAGAACTAAAAAAGATTTTAAGGGTTCGTGTGTATTTTTGATATTTATAAATCTCATGTGTTAGCTTGCCCTTCTAATCTGGAAGTTTTTACTACTAAAAGTATTATTTGTCTACAGCCAAAAACTAATGTTATTTTCATTTTTGGATATTCCACTATATTGGAATTGACGGGAAGATAAATTTGTGTAGTGGGCACAAACACGTAATTTTGTGTGCATTATAAAAAGTGACAGAAAAAAATTCCAAGAAATTGAATATGTATCTCGTTGATCTTTTTACTTGATCTAAAACAAAATAAAAAACGTAATGTAATAAAAAAATCGATAGGAGTATTGATATTGAATACTGCTGCAACATAGGTATTTTAACGGTTTATTGTGAGTTTTATTATTTTCTATACATTTTTTCATATGTGAACTAGAAAAACAATTATTTTTTCACTGAATTTGTTATGTTTGTTTACCTCAAACGAAAGGAAGAGTATGTATTTAATACACCCCGTAGTTTTTCTTTATTGGCTTCGTCAAAGATTGATCGAGGCGTTCATTTGATCGAATATTACAAATGAATCGTGAGATATTCATCGCTTAGAATATAGAATGAGTGGGAGGGGGGTTAATCACCGGGACCTTAAAGATCTATTTTGTCCCCCTTCATTGAGTTATTACTCATCATACAGTCTATAACTCATCATAAATGAAGATTTTCCTGTTGTAGGGAGGACAGGGTATTTCCCATCCTCCTCTGACAACAGATGTTTTTCGTCCGAGGAGTGGGCATCTACCTTCTACGAGGGGATACACTCTTCCACGGTAGGGGTTTGACCTTCCATGCCCTTCACAGTCGAGGAGCTTGTCTCCGGCTGAGGTACCCGTTAGGTGGAGGCTGGAGGATCTGTCTCCATTTTCTCCCACCTCTTTAACTTGGGCTTTCTTTAGTCTTGATACCGGTGTTGTCCCGAATCTATCATAGAGACTACATCTCTATTTCGCTATTGCCTCTTTGGATTTGAGCTTCTTATTTTGAAGACATGAACATCGTCCTGACCGTCGTTGATGACTCGATGTGCTTACATTGGAGTTCTGAGCCTGGATAAAGGGTCAGCAGGTAGGCGGTGTCTTTCCTTTTGCTCCTCGGCAGAAAGACCATGATGGTCGCCTCTTTAGGGATGTAGTATTTTACTTTAGGGAAATTGTATCCCCACAAACCGAAGCTGACCCAGATTTTGTGGATCGGTGTGTTGCAATCCGCTCGCTACTACTTCGTCCAGTATCGCCTCTTCTAGAGCCGTTTGCTGGTCGATAGTCAGTGCAGCCTGGTAATCAAAACCATCCGAACCTCAGGGTAATCCTCTGGCATCACCGTTATTTTCACTTATCCAGCAATAGCAGCAAAGCTGGTGATGTCCCTGCTTGCTTCTCGGTGTTGGACGGCTTTTCAACCTGGCTTTTTTCTCTCCTTGTCGGAGCAGAAGTGAGAGGTTCTCGCTCCCTCTTTTTTCCTTTGGTGGAGATGCGCCAGGCTCTTTCTTGGTTCCTTTATTCTTTCCTTTTTCAAAGAGTGCTTCGGCTTTTGCTTTTTCTGCAGCAAGTCCTTCGTGGAGCAGTCGGAGGTATCTCTGTACTTCTGTTCCGCTAAGACCTACTATCGTTTAGCCCGCCTGGTTGGCCCAGACCATGTAGGCAAAACGGTAGTATGTGTCGCTTGTTGAGTTTAGAGGTAGGCTACCGACCCTTGCTAGAGGAGGTGGTAGCTTATGTGCAACTTATGGAGCCTGGTCTCGCGCAAGTGTCAGCCGCCTCTCTTGTAGTTCCCTTTGGGGTTGGTTCCGTGGAACTTTAATTGATAATGTTCCCAATTTTGCTAGGAGGTTTCCCCATAGCTTCACCGGTGGTGTTTTTTATAATACGAAATATATAAGACGAAAATATTCGTCTCCTTTATATTTTTATATAAGTTGTGTAATAATCTTTTGGATTCACTTTTTCTACTTATTTAACTTTGCTGGCCATGTTCCGTCCATTAATTAATTAATTCGGAATTCAGCAAAAAGGAGACATTAACTTAAAATATTTTTTTTTTACTTTATTTTCACATTATATGTACAATATATTAGTAAACTCTGAATCAGAATAGAAGACGATTGCGTAATATCATAAATTATACGAAATATAAATGTACGTACGTCGGTGATAAGGTCACGAGGTTACGACCGATGACATATTGAAGTTAGGTCATGTTATTAGGGAATGACTCTTTCTAACACATTTGAAATGGTAAATCGATTGTCTTTACTACAAAATAATATGATTATGCAATCGTCTTCTTGTATGATTCACAGTTGTACACCTACATGTACCTGTTCATATATATTGTTATCATACCTCATAATATGTCTAAATTGTCTTTGTATGGTATGGTTTAATGCCTGTTAGGCAATAAAAGTATTGTTATTATTATTATATACCCCACCGCAAACTCTTCATCCTTTAAACGTGGATAATTTTCACCTGAAATTAAATGGATCTACATGATCTTATAATGATAACCTTGCTTTAAAACTTTTAATTAACTCTAATTATCATTTGTTGTAATTACCAATTTTCTTAAATAAAAATTCATGGATATTTACTCTCTTGTCACGCCATTCTTCAATTTTTAAGTAGCTGTCATATTATCATCTCTCTTTTTATCAATATTGTATTTGCAAATCAAATATGCCAAATCCCCTGTTATTAACAATGAAATATTTGTATCATAAATAAGTCTACAACCTTTATATGTTTTGTTCTATCATGACAAGCATAAGTTCTATCATGACAAGCATACTTATTCTTCTTTATTATCCAATGCCATCCAAAACGTAAACTCTTAAAGATTCCTAATATAAAAAATAGGTAGTCGAATATTCAGATTATACACTGAAAAGTATGCTTAAATATAGTTTTTTTAAATATTTTTTAGTATGTTACTTTAATTACTGCGAAAAATCCAGATTAGATGGACGGGCAACCAACTAACAGTTATAAAAAAATAATTAAATTGTTGGTTCAATTAGTAAACATTTTTAGGGAAGGAAATGCAATATCAAGAATCTTCTATATAAACAATGTAACAGATGGTTTTTACAGAAAAAAATTGCCCCATTAACTTTACTCGCTAAAGCTTCAAATAATTTATCTGATAAACTTATCAATAGAAAATTCATATTCAAGTGTATTCTAGATTTACATAGTGAGTAACATTTGTAGTGTATGCATGAATAAATTTCTTAACTTTAATATAATTGATTTATTGTAATATTCACTGTCAGTTTTAAATTGTTGCTTATGGAATTTTTTTAATGTTTTACAAACTGAAATGCATTGTAAATACCGTAATGTTCGAAAAAAGAGGTATCTAGTTACCCTAGAAAGCTAATTGTGAGAATTCTAAGGATGCATCCACAGTATCCTAGAAAAAGAGGATTGGCGTATCGGCGTAACGACCTTGAAACGATTTTCAGTCATTATATTGGCTGAAATTTTTGACAGATGGTTATTTCATTCAATAGAATTACTGGAAATCGTTTCAAGGTCGTTACGCCGATACGCCGATCCGCTTTTTCTAGGAATGTGGATGCACCCTAAGTTAACTCGACGCCATTTTTGTTTCCTTCATATAGTATGTGTACATGTAATTAAAGCTTTCATTCTAATATACTTATTATTTTTTAGGTTCCAACAATGATTTAGAAGGAATTTCCAAATTTTACGAAGATCTCCCAGAGGACTGTCCGGATCGAATTATGATAGAAAAATATATAGAAAAAAATAAAAATAACAGATTTTAAATATACATTAAAATAAAACTTATTTTCATATAAACCTTTACATTAACATATAAATAATCATATTATTTTTCATATTACTTACTTAAAAATTTTATGATAATTTTGTGCGAATAAAAGGAGAATATGGTACATACAATAGAGGAATTATTAGGAAATAATTTACTTTTTCTGGAAATATGTATATATAATAACCTATTTTCCTTATTTTCATATAAATACCAACAAATTATAGTGACAGTGTTGATAATCGCTACTTGATTTTTTTATTATTGATTTCTTGCAAAAGGAATGAATGGAACACCCTATATATTAATTGAGTTTCGGATTCTGGGAGAAAAATAAAATTGAGTTTCATTAGAGAATTATATGATCAAAATGTAAGGTTTTTGGCATATTTAAAATTTTCTAAAAATGAAGAACAAATTTTAAATTTCAATAAAAGCAACTTAAATTGTAATTTACCCGGTATAGCCTAATATGTAGTTAAAATAAATATTGTGCTTTAAATCATATTAAAACTTGATTCAAAAAGTTATACAAGATGAGACAAAATTAATATTGAACATTGGTCACATTTAAAAGCAAGTTACTCTTTTATTTAAAAGGAACACCCCGTGTATTATTCCGATATTCAAGGGGGAATTCATGTCTCTTCTGCATACTATTAGGATTGTATACTCCTCAAACAAAGATTTTTCTAGATATTTTCATTTTTATGCTTTAGTGTCAGCAGTGGCGGCTCGTCAGGGGTAGGCAAGGTATTCGGCGCCTACCCTAAGATTTTGGCAGAATTTAAGCGATTTATTACATTACATTATTTACCTACTGTTAATGTTGCCAATACATAAAAATACTGTTAATACACGGAAGTGTGTTTTAATAATCAATATTATTTTAATATTTGTGGTTTTGTATATTAACATATTCATTATCGCTGACTGTGCCGCTGCGTTAGAAAACAAAATAATTTTGACCGTTGGAGTTCCTTTGTTCACTTGTGTCTAGCCCCAGCAGGCAACTATTAAGCCCGACCAATGTTCGGCGATTTCTACATCGCTTACTATCAGAGTTGATGCACGACGTACGGCAGTCTTCTGCCTCTGTCTAACTCATCGTGCGGTAGCGACGCGACGTAAGTTGTAGTTGTATCGTATTAAGGCGGGGCTTAGGCGACATCTCCGGTCGCCTTTGAAGTCGTGGAGGCTCGGTAGGCTTAGAAGTTAAGGGGATATTCCCGATATTTCATAAGGAGATATATCACCTTTTGTTAAGGGGATATTTCATATGATTCATTATACGTAGCATTTAAAACTTTTAGATGAAAATTCAAAAAAACGTTTAAAGCAAATTGGAAACATTTTACGGGCTTGTCCGAGATTATTAACAATGATATAACCGGTTGTATTTCAGAACACGCCACAGAAATAAATGAATCCGAAATAAAAAAAAAGCGCGTTATTTTATTCGGTGCAAGAAGACGATACAACAGATATTACAGAAAATTCTCATTGTGCTATTTCAATTCGATATATTAATAAAAGCGGCTAAGTCAAATATCTTTGCGAATTTTATTTTATGAAATATTAGATAACATTGTTATACATTTAGAAATAAGGTTTGCAGATAGGTACTCGTATGTCTCAGTTATTTTTTTATTTATCTCTTGCGGATCCGAAATTTAAGGAATCCTATAAAAATTTCTAACGCATTTAACATCTGATTTAACAAACTTGTTATATTGATACATTTCCAACTTCCAACGCATTTAATAGTGATTTAACAAACAAAAAATGGTATTGACCAACATATAAATTAATGAATAAATTGCATATATTAATAATAGATATAATAATTTCGATTATAAAATAATTTAAGGAGAATAATCCTGGAAATATATTTCCAGAGGCTTTCAAATTGTTTGTGATGAAATTATTTAAACCATTTACAAGTACTTGGGTTGAGAGACATTTTTCATATCTGAAATGCAATAAAATTTATAGTAGAGATTCCATGAAAAATAAATTCTTTCAATCTAAAAAGATCTTTTCACAGCTCTTCAACGATCTGATGATTTTACTGATATAATAATAAATAATTTTTCTTTATTAAGAGACCGACTCGTCAATTTAATATATAAAACATAATTATTCTTTCTCTCAATACTACCAATTTTTAAGTTTGCGTAAATAAATAAAAATAAAATAAAATTCTATGATGTACTCCATAGTGACTCTATAGTAATAGATAAAATAGATTAATAAAAACTATACTTGTACATTATGTCAATCATTATGTCATTACGTTAAATGCTGTTATTTTTGCTTTAGTTTTGACCTAAATATTTTTGAGCTATGTTTTTAACCCAGAGATAACATATATTTACAAAGAGGGTGCAAATAGACGCAAAAAATTTTGTCGCCTACCGAATCACACGGGTCACGAGCTGCCACTGAGTGTCAGTAGATCTTTATTATTTGATAAAATCTAGGTGGCTCTGATATGCTTGGCGACACTTCAATATAGTTGTCAAACTAGTTCAACTTTAACAACTAGTTGTAATTTTTGTCAGTTCAAACAAGAAAATATCAAAAATTGGCGGAAAATGGAAAATTATCTTACATCATTGAGAATTGATTGCATTCGCTTAATTGCGTGGATTCGCTAATTAATAGAACGCTTAAGTGTTGATTTATCTAGTCTGGACTTCTTTTATGGGATATGTTATATGTTAAAGGTAGTGTTTACAAAACTCAAAGGATCTTTTGAAAGAAGAATCTTATGCAGTGAACAGGAAGAAGCATTTTGGGCATTTGATTTCATCTAGCTAATTTTTGTCACAAAATTGTACGTTTATATCTAGTTTTAATTCTGTAATAAATTCTGTAATAACTAAAATATGTTTTAAACTTGTAATCTTTTTATTGCCGTTGAATATTTTACTCTACATCTTTTAATTTTTGATAAATTAACGAAATAAAACACCAAATAATATCATCATATAAATGAAAAAATCTAGGAAAATCTTTGTCTAGGGGTAGCAATCTTAATAGTATTTTGAAGATATATGAATTTTCCATTGAAGATCGGGAATAAAATACTGGGTGTTCCATTTAAAATAAAGGAGTAACTTGTTTTTAAAAATGACCAAATGTTGAATATTAATTTTGTCTAACAATGTATAACTTTTGGGGGCAAATTTTTATTTGTTTTAACATACAATGGTTATTTCAACTAAATATCAGGATACACAGGGTAAATTACAATTTAGGTAGCTGTTATTAAAATTTAAAGTTTATTCTCCATTTTCACAAAATGTGAAATATGTCAAAAACCTTACATTTTAGGCATATGTTTTTTAATAAAACTCACCTTTATTTTTTTAATATATATATTATAGCACGTGGATAAGTAAATCACCATGACACTATTTATCTTCTTTTTTTCCAGACTTGCATTTATCTTCTTTTTTTGTTGCACACGCGATGCTTCTACTCTATCTATCCTTGTCGAGGACCTATCGCCCACGCGCCAAATTTGAACATTAATTTTAAGAATTTAATTTGTAAAATGCATATATTTGAACAATAATTGAATGTTACTGTCACAAAAATTAAATTATATTAAAAATAAATTAGCCACTCTGTACGAATATCAATATTCTTAGGAAATATAACCAGAAAGTATGCATGCCCAACTAGCAAATATAGTTCCCAGTCCTTTTTAAAATGTCACTGCCCCTAAAGTATAGTTCCTAGGCCCACTCCGCCACTTAAAATGTTACTCTATAAGGAATAGTCACTTTGAAGTATATTTCGAGAGTGACCGGTTAGTCCCTACCTACCATAAAAGTGGAAAATAAACACCCCGATTGCAAGTCGCAAAGATGTAATTTAAAGAAGTGGCTGGAACTACCCGAATCTTCGAATATGACACCATAAAAGACCAAAAACTTTGTAGGAACTTTTCAAAGTAGGGGTTACCAACGAGTGCTACCATAATGCCTCCATTAAGTTTTTGTTACTTTATAGTAACAATTTAAGTTACGGGGTAGTCGCGGGCACGCCACCTAGTTACTTCTAATTTATAGTAGCATTGAAAGTAGCAAAATGGTTACTTCTACCTTCCTAGGTTACTATAAAGTAGCCGTCGCTCATCCATTGCCACTAAAAAGTCACAGGGGTCAAAAACGGCTACTTTATAGTGACCATAACTTAATATACCCTAATAAATGTAATTGCTTCAGATTGCATCGTGTGCTGCTCTGTTTTATTGTTTTCTTTTACTTGCTTTTAAGCTTTATTAAAATTTTGTAAAATCCCAAAGGTGAATAAAAAGAAATTTAGATATTCTAGTACTTTCAACCGAAGAATTAAACAAAACGAATCACTGTGAGCCGATGCATCAACACCAGAAACAAAAAATACATCTTTCTATAATCCTACTGATGAACATCATAAATCAGGTAGTGACTGAGACATTTTTGAAGCTGTTTCTTTAGAAGAGTGTAGTCTTAGTTCATCTGAAACTGAATCTCAGAGGACAACTAATTTGAGAACCAATAATATAAAACAAGAGCTGAAAGAGTGGGCGTTAAAATACTCTATACCTCATGTAGCTCTAAATAATATAGAAACACTAATAATAGAAAATGCACAATAAGTAAAGAATAACTTCAAAGGACAAGGCGGAACGTGATAGTGGCACCAATAGAATGTATAGTCGCCACCACCGCGATCGGTGTAGCAACGCTCCAATTAAGCGGCAATTTGGTGGCGCAGGGAACTTTCTTGGAAAATCACTTTATGGTTCCAAAGAATCGTTGACCATGTAGTTCCAAAAAAGTTATTGTTTCTATAAAGTCGCCTTTGGATAGCTACAATTGTCACTTTATCAATCCGAAGATTTTAAAGGTCCAAACGGGTAGGGTTGGCCTAATATGTTATTGTTCCCGGTACTTTGTGGAAGCGTATGGAGCTATAAAGTATTTTTCGGATTAAACGGCCATATTTTTTTCATGAATTTTTAGACGAACAGCCAAATGGCTCAAACATTATTCGTTTTTAAGCTAAATATACCTAGATTAAAGCCTTAGATTAAAATTCCTTAGTTATTTTGTTATTTCTGATGGTGGACTAATATTTTAAAGTTTGACCCCGGTTTCAAGCAAATTATTATTATTTTTTAATTACAAATATGAGTTTCTATTGCAAATAATATAATAATTTGAAATATTTTGAGAGGCGCTCGAAAAGT